TTTTTTTTTTTTTTTTTATCAGGCTTTAGCTCCTTGTTCATTCTCACTGAAAGCCTTGGAGAGCCTTCATCATCCTATTAGTAGATTTATGGTCCTCTTGCATGGTCATTTTCAGCCATTTTGGACCTGGAAGGTCACATGGGATACAGAAGCTTGGCTGAATTGCAACAAAGGAAGGTCTAATTTTAGGATGATCGACTAGCATGGCTTAAAACCCTGACACCATGGTGACCAAGTTGGCTGGAGTTACTCATGAGGGAGTGGAGATTCTTCTTGAGAAAGACAGAAGTATGTTACTGTTCATTAACTTAAATACCATACTAGTCCAGTTCAGCAGAACCTTGACACATAAGATAATTTCAACTTGCAAGGAAAGTAATCCTGATTTAAAACATGTAAGAAAGTCTTCACAATCAGAAACATATTGCATGTAACTATAGTTTGGTTTTACACTGTTACATTTAAATTAAAAAGCTCAAACCACTAGCTATCTAGTTGGCTTTTTTTAAATAGATATGTCCAGTTTAGCAAAATAGCTTACAGTGAAAGGAGAAGCTGAGCACAGAAACATGTACTGAAGATTTATGTGGAGGGTCTCGGCTGCCCTCTACTGGTAAAACATAGAATAAGCCTTTATCTGATGAGTATTTTTTTTTGTTTTCATGTTCTGTTTCACACTAAAGAGTATGTATGTAAAACGTATAGAGGTTGGTGCATATCATGTTTGTTTGATTTGAAGGGTTATTTATAAGGGAAAGATGTTTCTCCTTGAAAATGAATTGTTCTTTATCACATTTCTGTGGATTACATGAAAAATGAATTATTTATTTTGCACAGTCTACACATGATTACTGTTTCCTACGCTATTCTAAGTTTTTTCTAGACCCGATATCTAGTCTGTGGTCGATAGCTTGCTCTAAATGTGTTTATATTAATCTATAAAGACAATTTGATTACATTGTTGACTTTTAAACTTTGACATATTTAATTGGCAAATTGTCTAGGTACCATCAGAGATATTTAATGTAGTCACGTTCTTTACTTAAGTGAAAATAAAGACAGCTTTGTAAAAAAAAAAAAAACAGTTTCTGAAACCAATTCAACTTCTTTATCTAAGTAAGAGTTTAATAAAAAGTACAGGTTCTAAGGTTTTCTTAAGTACAAAAGTAAACTGAAACTTTTGCCTGACATGGCACTGAGCAACTTTGAAAAACACAGTTCTTATAAAAACATCAAAAGTGAGGACATCAAAACTCTTGACTCTCTTGTTTGTTTTTTTTTGTGTTTTTTTTCTAAATTAAAATTTCAAACAGGATAATATAGTCTGAACTTAACAGAAGTCTTGCATAGGCAACAGAGTACTTTGAAAGCTCTGGTATTCACAGCACTAAAGTTGCAAATAACAGTAAAACTGAAATAAAGCGTGAAGCATAATCAACATGTAAATATAAAATCTAATAAAGGGGTGGGTGGACGGGGAATGTCTTACAATTTGGATGCCAGTTTGGAGAGAGTAAGGACGAGAAAGTACAAATACAGCATTTTTGTACAAATGTCGTGAGTGACAGAAAAAAAGTTCCCAGAAAAATAAATACTCAAGTAAATTGAGAAAAGCAACATAGATATAGGAGACATATTAATAATTAATAACTAGACTTCTCTGGTTGCCATTGCTTGCATTTCTATGGACATCAGTGTTTGTGGGCTTCAAAATCAGCGATTCTTGATTTTCTGACTGACCAATCAATGATCAACATTAGTCAAGGTATAAATAGTGTAATACTGATCAGCAGTCCAATTTTCTTTGCATGTTTTTATTTATTTTTTTTACCTGGTATATATTTATTAGTACTTTTGAATGTTAACAACAATTCTGGATAAATACAAAGGTACATTTAGAACTGGGTGCCTCATATGACTAGTCTCTCCCTCAGCATAGGAAGTTTCAATATTGCATAATCAAAATGTTAAAATGATGAACAGCTTTTCAGACACAACAGTAACCTTTCTTAATTTCCTTTATTCCAGAATATTTTTAAAATGGTAGAACGAAAGAAGATCATCATGGATGGACGCCTTTAATACCCAGAAGACCATGGAAGGGGAAAACCTGGTAAACTCCTCCAGCAATAACACAACGGACATCCATCTGGTTACTCATAGTCTTTGGGAGGTGATCACCATTGCAACTGTATCTGGCATTGTCAGCCTCATCACCATTGTGGGTAATGTTCTTGTAATGGTTTCCTTTAAAGTCAACAGTCAACTGAAGACAGTGAACAATTACTACCTGCTGAGTCTGGCAGCTGCTGACCTCATCATTGGAGTTTTTTCCATGAATTTGTACACCTCCTACATCCTGATGGACTACTGGGCTTTAGGGAACCTGGCCTGTGATCTGTGGTTAGCACTGGACTATGTAGCCAGTAATGCCTCGGTCATGAACCTACTCGTGATCAGTTTTGACAGATATTTCTCCATCACTCGGCCTCTGACTTACAGGGCCAAAAGGACTCCCAGACGAGCTGGAATTATGATAGGATTAGCTTGGCTGGTATCTCTTATCCTATGGGCTCCACCTATACTTTGTTGGCAATATTTTGTAGGAAAAAGAACTGTTCCTGCAAGACAATGCCAGATTCAGTTTTTCTCTGAACCTGTTATAACATTCGGGACAGCAATCGCTGCCTTTTATGTTCCTGTGTCAATTATGACAATTCTTTACTGTCGCATCTATAAGGAGACAGAGAAAAGGACAAAAGATCTGGCAGAGCTGCAGGGAGTTAATCATCAAATGGACTCTGGGGAGGCACAGCCTCAGAAGATCATCATAAGATCATGTTTTAGCTGTAAACTGAGATCATCTTCACATGATCAAAACCAAGCCTCCTGGTCATCTTCCAGCAGGAGCAATGCCAAATCCACTGGGTCCACCAGCGATGAGTGGACCAAAGCCGGTCAGCTGACCACCTTCAACAGCTATGCCTCCTCTGACGATGAGGACAGGCCGGTGTCTCCAGTAGGGTGCAAGACCTCTCTCCGGAACCAGGCTTGTGAAGCAAGCAGAAGTGTTATGGGCAGTGAGAGCGAGCAGCTTAGCAACTGTGATGATGAAAGCTTATTCCAAACACATACCAAAAGCAACTCCCAGAGGAGCAGCAAATGCTTGTCCTACAAATTTAAACCTGTGCCAAAAGATCCTCACCTGGAGCACCATAGCAAAAATGGAAACACAAAGTTGGTTTCTTCCACATTCTCCTCTGCCGAGTCTATGAGCGCTCCTTCAACCTCCTCTGTGTCTAAGCCTACAGATATATCTCTGAAAAGCCAGATCACCAAGAGGAAAAGGATGGTGCTGATAAAGGAGAGGAAGGCAGCTCAGACTCTCAGTGCTATCTTATTGGCATTCATCCTTACGTGGCTTCCTTACAACATCATGGTGCTGATTTCGACCTTCTGCTCAGACTGTATCCCACGCTCCCTCTGGCACCTGGGCTACTGGCTGTGCTATGTAAACAGTACAGTAAACCCCATGTGCTACGCCCTGTGCAACAAGAACTTTCAAAAAACCTTCCGCATGTTGCTGCTCTGCCAGTGGAAAAAGAAAAGGATTGAGGAGAAACTGTACTGGCATGGACAGAACCCTGTAGTTAGCTCCAAGCTGACATAAGGGATTCTTTTGTGCTGATTCAGGGATTGTACTGACAATCTTGACTTCATAAACTTGCATTCGTCATGTAAGGTGAAGTGCATTTTATAGTGTCAATGAGTATGTCTCTTGTATTCAAAAATTATAGCTGCTAATATCCTCCAAAAGTACTAATACATAGTTCTTCTTCACATTTTGTCATTGACTTAATACGTCTGCGTATTCTCCACATCTGTGTATTCTGTACTTGGACATTACTGTGTGACAAGCCAACACAGGGTATTGCATAATGGTAAAGCCGAAAGAAAATGTTTTACAGGAAAATATTAGTAAATTGTGGCATACATTTTTTCTCCACCATTTGCTGCGATTAAGGCTGTGGCTATTTTGGAAAATGCTTTAATTAGTGATGCAAATGTAGAAATGGAAACATAAGCCCATCCAATTTAACATAGACATTTTACTGAACAGAGAGAACCAATGAAAGACAAATGTTTAATGGACTGAGAGAAAGGGAAAATGATTAGGGTTCTATCTTTTAACAAAACTGCTCCCCCACTGAGGTTTTTAGACTCACCAGCAGGTTTTCTTCTGGCATTTTCTAACTTTTACCTCAATAAACTGCAAAAGCTTTGCAAAGCTTGCTTTTATAAAGACATTCCTCCCCCAATGCTCCCTAGCAAACGTCTGAAACTTTTGGAGCATTTGTATTATACTTGGATGAATTGGATTTTATATTGGGATATTAAAGTAAATCAGGAAGAAAACAAATGCTTACCACACAGAATATGTAAAACGTTTAAAACCATGAGTTGTATTCCATCCTTTTCACAATTATGCTCACTGTTCTATCAGATACATTTCAGAGAACAAACCACAGTTCAAGGATGTGATCTGAAAAAAATGTGATACTTCAAATAAGATGCTGTAAATATGTTAGTGCTACTTAAAATCACATTTTCTTTATCATAAGATTTATAATTAAGGTCTGATGGACTTTTTGTAACATATTAGTTGTCAAACACTTGATTTTGTCGCCCAGAAATGCCCAAACTGTTTAAATGAATTTATGTTTACAGTTACAGATTTGATTTTGAAGGGCTATTTTAAATGTTCTAATCTTTAAGTATTTTTACATATGAACTAAATAACTTAAACAAAAAAATAATAGCTGACAGCTTTTTCCCTATCCTTTGTAAGTGAATTAATTTTAGATGTGGCTTCATTGGTATAAAAAAAATTACCTTTTATGCTGAGGATGAATTTTAAGACAAACTTATAAATCAAGCAACTTGGTATTATTGTCAATGTTTACATTAGGAGGTAGGCTTGGGAATTCAAATTTCATTACTTTCATCCTCAGGATTTAGCCTAACTCTGGTATCAAAAAAGGACCTTTTTTTTCCTAAAGATTGTTCCTAAATGCTGCTAAATTATTCTTTTAATTTTTTTCTGACAAACATATTGTTGGGATTTGTTTCACAGAGTTTTCTGCAGTATAAGCTACAATGTTACAGAGTTCTACAATAATTTGGGGGATTAAATACATGCTTTGCTATGACTGTATATATATATATATATATATATGTAAAGATGCGTATTAAAGATAAAGGAATATCTTAATCTATACTGTTTTTTTTTTTTTTTGCTTTTTTACAGTGCTTCAAGTATAGTGTTTTAACGTTGTTAATGTTATATATTAATAAAATGTGTGGAACTAAATATCCATCTCAGTGCCTACAATCAACAAAGGCACGCTTGTATGCATTGTTGTATATGGATTTTGGCATAATTCCTGAGAAGGTCTTCAGAGCTCATCTTTCTTGCAATTTCCACTGTGAATCACTTTAACCGTCTCTGAAGGTTTCACCATCATCCATGCATACTTGCACAGCTTCTCCTTATTGCAGTCTTTTTGCCAGTAAATCACATTTCTACGATTCAGATTTGCACCAGCACAGGCATCATACCACCATCCCCCTCCAGGTACACCTTGAAACTCCAACTTGGCACAATTTTGAAAGTAGTTGTCATTGTCTCTGTCTTTAGTCGTAAACTTTTGGTTGTCATGAAGGTAATTTTCTGTATCTAGGGTCAAAGCATCCAGAGCTGTGCCCTGGAATAACCCTAGCCTTAACCTATAACCTGTGGATTCTTCCTCCACTAGGAAGGGATCATACTCTCCCGTCTTGGTGACGGCGTCTTGGTCTACAAGCTTCACTCCCAGTTTATAGCGGGCGGGGCCACGAGTGAGCTGATAAAGGTATTCATTTCCCAGCCAGTGATCCCCCGTGACATCTCCAAAGCCTTTCTTGTATTCATCCCAGGTGCGATCAAAATCCACACTGCTGTTAACAGTGATATGCTGAACCACTGTCCAGCCTCCTTCCTGCATGGCACAGTAGGCCACAATAGGGAGGTCATGTGGTTTGATCAAATAAACCCCATCTCTGGCCGTGCCTGAGGATGCCATCAGCATGTCATAGCAGTCTCTGGGCAGCACTGTGGAGAAAATAAAAAAATAGGTCTAAAGCTTTTTCACATCTTCACAACATTGATTTTGAATGCGATCAATCAGGTTACCGTATATAAAATAAAGCAACACAAAGTTGTGAACAGTATTGATGCATAATGAAAAATAGGGTTTACAAATAAAATAAAAAGAAATAAATCTTAGATAGTGTAGGATTTGGAGGATATTTTCTTAAAATAAGAGCATTTTTTCTTGAATTGAGGAGGAAATTGAGATGCTTTGCCAATGGAGCAAGACAATTTACATTTAAATGAAAAAAAATTGCTTTTATCTTATTTCAAGTTTATATTTTCTAATTATGAGTAAAAATATTAATTCCATTGACAAATCATCTCTTTTACCTACTAAAATTAAGTGTAAATACACTTAATTTAAGACATTTTCATTCATTTCTGATCATTTTTGCAGTGTATCTGTTCATTCCTTTTTGTCAATTTTCTGTAGAGAACCGAATCAACATTTTGATCTTTTCACTTTATTACTTATTGCTGAAATTTTTACATTTACATCAATTGTCTTTCTTAAGATCCTAATGTAAGTGGCCATGTGTTTGAAAAATTAGTTTACTATCACATCCCTTCTACTGTTTCTTATCAGTACTGATTTTTATGTACTTAGATTTAAAAGTTTTTTTTCTCTTGGAGAGCACCTGGTAGAAAGGCTTAATACTGGTCTTATCTTAATGACACCTCAGAAGTTGTTTTCCAGTTTTTAGACATTTTGGTAATAGCCTAGTCTGCCTTGGAATCAAGGTTATTTCAACAAATGCTTTGGTTTGTGAGAAACTATCTACCGGTATGTAAGAAACTGTCTATTTTCTGTGTTTCTCAAGAAGTTTGGTAAAAACTGAGAGATTTAGAACAGGCAAGGGAATATCGGCAAAACTGTATCTGTTCTCCCTTGCAAAGGTAAAATAACATGCTGGCTTGAATTAATAATATCAGATCTCAAATTCTTGTTAAATAAGACTCAGACAGACATTCTTTTTCTGTCACCAGTTGGCGTTTGTTAGGAGGATCCCCTAGACTGATTTTCATGGGAGCAGATATAACAGAAGTGTCTGATCAACCTGGGATTATGTCCTGGTCTCAATCCACATAGATCTTTTAGGGATGGAGGACTTCTGACTTCATGTTTCCAGGGATCGACGGGAGATTCCACACTGAATTTATATATATATATTTTTGGATGGTGAGAAATCTTCAATCAGCATGTCTCAAATATTCATTGGACTAGCATTAATATGGGTAAAATACTATATGGGGATGGCTGTAGGTATGGCCAATAGATACTTGATTTTACTTACTTGTAGATTTAAGTAATCTAGAGAAGGGATGCCCACCAATTATCCATGTTGACCCCAATGTATGGGTGTGCATATTAATTTTGGGTAAATTACTTGTGGATAATGGGGAAAAAGTTGCAGTTCCAATGGAATGAAAAAAATGAGGCAAGGTTCCTAGAAATCACCTCAGCCCCAGAGAGAAACAGGTTAAGATTAGCCTAATTTAAAAGCAGTGTTTAAACCTTACATTAATTGAAGTGACAAAGGTAATTATTTTTTTTATTATTTTAATAGTGCTTTTAAAGAAAGGAAAACTCCACCCCTTTATTCTGAAATAATATCTCAATTAATAGCTAATTACTCTAAGTTTTTTAAGTAATGAGGGTGAAATGATAAGGTGAAATTAGAAGCCTTAAAAACTAATGAACAAACTGGAGGAATTGATGTAAAATCAATTTAAAAGGGAAAACGGAAAAGTGGGTTTTGAAATCAGATGAGAGGTAGAAAAAAAGACTTGGAGTCGGTGGCAGAAGGATTATATGGGGCAATGAGATGACATTCCTATCCTGAAGTGGCTTCTTCTTTATATGGTAATGATGAACAATTGAAACATCTGTCTTCCTTACACTAACCTTTGTTTTTTTTGTTTTTTTTTCTGCCCTCTCATGCATATTCCCTCATCTTAGTGGATCGGTCTCTTAATGCTGAATTCAGACCTGGAAGGGCTGCCCCCCCATTCATTGCACCAGCTCACATGACACAACTGCCTGCAGCCGTCAACCTTCCTCTGCCCTCATCCAGTAGCTGTTTCTAAACTCCCACCCCCCAACACCTACGGTATACACTTAAGGACATTCTCATTTCTCAGTTAAGCAGTTTTCAGTTCTCTTGGAAAAAAGTTTCAATTCTTAGGAAAAAGATAATCTATTCTCAGGTATTAGAAAAAAATCATGGTCAGTTCTCAGAAAAAATGTTGTAATTTCTTGTAAATGGTAAATGGCATGTACTTATATAGCGCCTCTATTCAAGTCAGGAGACTTGACCAAAGCACTTTAACCCATTCATGCACACACACTGATGGTGGCAAGCTACATTGTAGCCACAGCTGCCCTGGGGCTCACTGACAGAAGCAGGGCTGCCGTACACTGGCACCACCGGGCCCTCTGACCACCATCAGTAGACAATTCAGGTGAAGTGTCTTACCCAAGGACACAACGACACTGAAAACGCCACTGTCGCCCGAAACGTTTATTCTTAGAAAAAACTTTGTCAGTTTTCAGATATTAAGAAAGACTTTGTAGGTTCTCGGCAGAAATGTTGTCAGTTCTTAGGAAAAACACTAGACAGTGAGACCAAAAATGCGTTTTTATGCACATTGTTCTCTTTCCTGTTTTCTGTCCACATGGATTCTGCCACATGTGGGAGCAAGTTCACATAGAGAATTATTAGGGTCAGGGGTTTAGTGCAGATGAAGTTGTTAGTGTAGTTTTCCCCACATTTTTGTCACTGTGTCCATGACACGATGAATGAAGCTTGCTCGTTTGCTCATTTCCATGTGTCCTGGTCGACATGCATTTTTTGTCTCTTAATTTATCTTCTTCATTATACTATTCTTACCATGCTTTGTTGAATTAACCCATTAATTTTTACCTGTAAAACACATTGTTTGTATTACTTATTTGTATATAAATGTGCAAAAATCATCATAGGTTTCTAGTACAATTTCTAAAAATATTGAAACCCCTTTCCTTAATATAAAAATGTATCAATGAAATATTCAAGTGTTGCAGAATTTGACAAAAAGGTTATTTAATTGCTATACAAAGCTAAACCTGATTTATTTTTCAGAGATGAACAGCTTAGACCCTTCAAAAAGCAACCACCATAATGTGGTGTATTATCATCTAAGATAAACAATTTACTGAAAAAGAATAACTATGGTAAATAAGTCACCAAATGATTTTTTCTTAACTGGAATTTGACCATCTACAACAATAACACAGACAATCTTAGATAAGTGGTTGCAAACCAGTTCTACTTGGGTGGCTGTCCTCAATTGTTAAGCTTTGAACTAAGAAGTTACAATATTTTTCTCATATGTACCATATTACTTAATAAAAAAAGAATAATAATTTAAGTCCAAATGAAAGTGGAAATCTAAACAAAAACATACCTTTCATTCCACGGTTCAGAATCTTGTTGTGCTCATTTATGGGAAGAAGATTGAGATTCTCAGCTTGGAGGCTTTCCATGTCAGCTCCAGCTGTGCAGAGCAGCAGTACTGTAGCCACTGCAGACAGCCACCATTTCCACTTCATCCTCACAATTTAGCAAACAAATAAAGTTTTTTGTGTCAGCCTGTTGCAAGAGTTAGAGAACTTCTTTGATACTGTACCTCAATGAAACTTTACTTAAAAAGTCTAAAACTGTGAAGGTTCATTTAATGATCCAGGAATAACGAGTAGAAATAATATATCCAAATCTTCTTGTTCCTGAATGCAAACATGATTGCAGTGTTCAGATTAGGAGTCTAGAAAACATCCCCTGCCCAGTTGTACCTGGACTTTGATCCCTGATTCACATCACAAAACAACGCCACCCCTGGACTTATCTGTGTGTGATAAACCTACAGAGTAACACACATCCTTGCCTGAATCCAATCATTTCAACAGCTCACATGGGGCTGAAGTCCAAATGGAGTTTTTAACACTGTTGGATAAGAAGGTGATAGTTTTCCTAATCACTTTAATCCCTTTTTTATTTATTTTCTTAGAAGAGCTAAAATCAATCATGTTCCATACAAATATATTCAGGCATGCATGTCTTTATTACTTCTGTTAAAAAAAACTATTATTTTCAAGAATTAAAAAACAACTTTGAGTCATGTTTAAACTGATGCAGCTTGGGGTTTGTTTCACTCACCTAACTTTCATGTTTATATTCAGAAACTAGAGAGTGTTAGCTTTCAAATAATGTATTACACATGTAATTTGGGCTTACAGTTCCTAAGTTATTTGCTTTTCCTTGTGGGTATGCAAAATAGCTGAGTATTTCCCAGAATTAGGTGGATGTTAAGAGGTTAATAGTTTAAACCAGCAAAAGAATCTAAAACAAACTACACAGATTCTAAAATCATATGAATGTTATGGCTGACTAATAATAATCCAACCACCTCTCTGAGTCATTAGTTCCATTTTTATAACTAATGAATGTTTAACCTCTCACAGCCTCTGGTCTTCCTGGCCCAGTAACAAAGATTGAGATTAATGCTGGAGTTTTGTTTATATATATATGTATATATATATATATTTATGCTGGAGTTTTGTTTTAAATATATATATCTATATCTATATCTATCTATATATAGATATAGATATATCTTCTTCAAAATAGATTCAAATTGACATATATAAAGCTGTGATGCAAGAGCATTTTCTTCTTTCCCTCCCATTAATAAGAATGATATTTAGTATTTATTTCTTTACGAACACATAATAAGAAAAAAAAGAAAAAAATATTCAGAATGTCCAGTTAAAACAAGAGGAAAGTATTAATTTATTTGATTTAGTTTCACTTTGCAATGCCCTCTCTTCAATGGCGAAAAAACAAAATATTTACATCATATGCATTTATTAATAAGTTAGATAAGCTTAACATCAATTCAAAATACAAACCAATCAGTAACTCACAAAATATATGAAGTGTTGTTTCCTGTCATAAATACTTATCTCAAGTAAACAGCAAATTATAATAAAACAAATTTAAAAAGTTGTCATATTCTATGTAAATAATAAAACAAAAAGTCGTAAGGCACCTGAGGAGCAATCAGGGGTTAAGGGTCTTGCTCAGACCCAGAGAGGCAGTCTGTGGGAGTGGGTTTTGAACCCACAACCTCAGGATTCTTAGCTCTATGCCCTAAACATTATGCCGCCAATCAAAATCAAAAGTAGTTCTGGCACGTTTAATATCTTTTCTATTTTGTCAATTACTTTTTGTTTGTTTAAAAATTAACAAACATGATGCATATTAGTAAACATTTACTAAAACCTGTCAGTTTAGCTAAATAGTCTTTAGGGCTGGTGAAAGGTAATGCAGAAACACATATAAGACAAATTCAGAGCAAACATTCCCACACTGGCTTTCTTATTTAATCTTATTCTTTGCTTTCAAGCAAGAAACAAGCCAAAGTTATACTTGTGCATTAGGAAAAAGCAAGGTGCAATATAACTTAACATTTTTTATTTATTTAGTACAGTTATTTGCCTTCATATTTTAGAATGATTGCTGTAGCCACTCAATAAGAACATGGATTTTTTTTGACATCTGTTAAGCTACAGCTCCATACAAAAAGGCAGCAATAGGTTAACAAACTGGAGTAAAAATAAAAGCAAAAATCTGAATTACAAACTCTAGTTTATTATTTTTTCATTATGGCAATAAAGAAGAAACAATCTAATAAAGATATCTGCTTTTTAGATAACTATTGCACATTCATAGCTCTACACCATTGTTCTGCAAACTCAGGGAAACAGCAGATTCTATAGTGCGGTAAAATAAGGCTTTAATTTCAGAGGATAACAACTATTGGGGTTTATATTCATGCTTTTTATGATAGCACAGGGTATTTTGATGCTCAATGTTGTCAGCGAAGTTGAAAAATAAAAGAGTCCACAACCTGAGGAAGCACAATAATAGAAATATTATTTCTTCTACAATAAACATTTCTGATATATATGTATGTATATATATATTCTCTTACTTTACCTTGGCTATATCTCCTGTCTGACCTGTGACAGATTTTAAAAGAGGTTCCTGATGCCAAATTTCCCGAAGTTGCCTGTTAAAGACCTGGAAATTTCTATTAAATAAAGAGACAATAAAAAAAATTCTGTTGTCAAGCAATATTTTATGTAATATATATATATATAATGTTTGGACCCTGAAATATATATAGCAATGATTATAAAAAATGATTTACTCATCCAGCTGGGGTTTAGATGATCCACTGTAGCCACTTCTCTGCAGTTCTCCCCACCAGTGCTTTAAAACTGAATATATCCATTCAAAACCGACTTTCAGATACCTAAAAGGAAAAAAAATGAATCTGGAATAAGACCTGATAATTTCTTTTGGGGTGAAGTCTAGTCAAGAGACTAAGCGAGATAAACACTCACTCTTCATAAGGAGTACAAAGGACTTTCCTAACTAAAGGAAATAGGTCAACACAACAGCCGATGTTAATCCTTGGCGAGCCCTCGTCAATGCTGTGGAAGAAAGGAATTTATTTTGGATTTACTCTTCCCTTTTGTCTGGGTTATGGAGATTTCTCAAAAAAAATCAAAGCTTACCACTTGCAGATAATTGGTAAAAAATCAACAATTACACCAGTGTCCTGGATTCTGCAGAAAGAAAACTACATAAGCATACTCTGCAAAGTCACTTAGTTCACATCTGAAAACAAAAAAGAATAATTACTTCTGAAAATATGCCAACAACTCTCCAACATTCCTCTTCCACAGTGTTAAAGCCACCTTCAGTCTAAGATTTCTTCCAAACAAAACATCAACCACCATATTGTGATCCTTTGTTAGCTGAAACAAAGAACCAAATGTTCAGACAATTTCATACAGCAATAATCATGGCACAAGAATGTTTGGTCAATTACAGTTATGTCAATGAGTGTATGGAAATCAAAACGTTCAGAGCCAGTTTCACTGGTCTTGTATCTATCACTGACATTTAGTGGGAACTCTGACGGATTGTTAAAGAATGTTTCCTGTTGTTTGTCTTGCATGCGTTTTGTTTCATTTTCCTTGTGTGTCGAATCAAAACTCCTCCCGGGTAGGTGCTGTTTCCTTCGAGCTACGGTCAGCTGATGGGTTTTCTTCTTCTTGCACGACAACACCCGCTTCACTCTGCCTGCACCGTTACCAGGCTTGTTAACTGAATGCCTGTTGAGGATAGAATAGTTAAAAAAAAAACTGATCAGAAACCCAAAGCATCTACAGTAAATCAATGCAAAAAATGAAGTGCACACCTTTTTTTGTTGAAGTCCTCGTGTTTATCATAATCTACCTATGATCAGAATACATAAGGAAGTTAGGGCTCCAACTGATTTAGTTGAAAAGGAAAAAAACAAAAAACAATCACATCTAGAATATGCATCATTTGATTCAGCTGACCTCCTCTGAGTTTCTCCTACGAGCATAGCTTACTGTGTACTGTGCTTCCTCATAATGAAGAACAGGATCAACATAATGGTCTCTACTGCCTTTACAGCTGGAATCCATCAAATCTGTACAGAAAATAACACTTTATAACTACAAAGGTCAAAGGTCACACAAGCTTGATTTAAAACCAAACCCAGGTTCTTCAAAAAAGCACTGTGTGAATGGATTTATGCATAGAAGAATAATAATTAAATGTGTTACTTTTTAAATAAAATTACTTAATGTACCAAACTTCACTAAAATTCTAAAGGAGCACAGAAAAAATAAAAAGCCTTTATGTATTTACTTAATTATTCATTTTTTTTGACTTGATATATTTTTTGTCTTCTAATCCAACATTAGAGATAAACAATAAATATGATTTATATTATAATAAAAAAGTGAGGATGATTAATTCTGATGTTTATTCTTCATTACTATAAAAAAACATAGCAAATAAAATAATGATAATTTATTTTTTATAGAAAAATTAATGGTAGTATTTTTTTATTACAAGCAAATATTTGGTGAACACTTTTTAACATTAGCAACCAATATTTCTGTTCGCTCTCAAAAGGACCCCATTTCCCATAATTCCTTTGGGCATCTCGGCTTTTCCTACTGTGACGTATTTGGAGGCTACGGGGTAAACAGCAGAATTCGTTTCAGTTTGAAGTTCAAACATGTAATCCAAGGATTTTTTTGGGGGGAAAGGCGGACTATTTCTTCAAGAAAGCAGAAACCAAAGCCTTCTAGGATCTCAAGACCATCATTTACTATGCTTTGTTCAATAGTAAGTACAGAACAGAGACGAAGCTTTAAAACAAAAGGATTGAAACGTTTCTGTAAACACGATACTGCCAAACGCAAAACAAAACAAAAAAGATATGTTTTACAAATAATTCCAGGTGCTACAGCTAAATAGCATTTATTAAACAGTTATGGAAACTGTCTCAGTTACTCTTAATGTCACAGACCTTTATATACTAACGCTTTTGTACTTACCGTGTTTTGTTTTTGAAACGGCTGATCATGGAAATGATTCCCTATAAATCTGCCATACAGGTCACGTGCGCAATGCCTGGCAGAGGTGTAAACATTGATCAAAGCTACAACTTCGGGATTATGCACCCCCTAGCGAATATTTACCTGGTTACACATTTAAACATAAGCAACAGCTATACTAATGTAATGATGATGTTTAATTCAATTCAATTTCAATTCAGTTTATTTATATAGCGCCAATTCACAACAGGTAATCTCAAGGAACTTTACAGTTCAACCAGATCATCCAGTCAAATTGATTAAACGTTTTCTGTCTAAAGAAAACCAGTTGATTGCATCGACTCATTGACTCTTTAGCAATCCCTCACACAAAGCATGCTTGTAGCGACAGTGGAGAGGAAAAACTCCCTTTTAACAGGAAGAAATCTCCAGCAGAACCGGGCTCAGTGTGAGCGGCCATCTGCCGAGGCCGACTGGGGTTCAAGGAGACAAAAGCAGAGATACAGAAAGCAGCTGTAAACTGTAAAAGGTGTTTACAGGTGTTCAATAGTGCTTTGTACGATATAAACATCGTGTTTATGCAATCTTACTGCATTGATCAGATCAGAGGCTGGTCCTGACATGTATCTTCTCTACTCTTTAGATTGCTTTAACAGCACTTTTCCACTGTGTGTTCATTACAAAACAAGATCATCTTGTTTTTTGTTTTTTAGTCCTGCTGACTAAGCAGCTTATTTGCCTCTGCGGTTTTCTGAGCTGACATTTGCAGATCCGCTGTTAAGGACTCAACTGAAAGCCACTTCTGAAGGTCAGTTATGAGCTCATATTTTTATGTCTTGTGATTTTTAGGTGTGACTGCCTTAAATGGATCATGTGGTTCATGTGCAATCACTCTTCTTTTCTCTCTGTGACTACTTTATACAGCCATCAGCCCGATGGTAAAATGGTGACTTTTCTTGCTGCTTATGTTTTATTAAACTTTGCACCCCTGTTGGTGCTCAGTGTTCCTCCCATTTGGACCCAACCGGAGCAGGTGCATCTCTCCTATGCTGGTGAGTGTTCGACCTTCCCCTGTTACTCTCATTTGTTTACATTTGATAGCAAATTCTGTCTGCTTAGAACATTTGTGAAGTATTTTTGGACATTTTTACTGTAAAAACTGGCAAATAATGTTGGCTATACAGGCTATGCTTTTGTTGTCTTGCAACATTTTAACCTCAATCAGTACTGCTGCATTTGCCATATACTCTCTTTGTTAATGGAAATTTTGATACAGTAAAATTTAGGTGTTTCGTGCTGAATCAGTACACGTGGCGTCTCTTGTAGTTTACATACACTGGGTAGTTACACTGTAATTATTCACAAGGTTACATATTTTTTTCCTGTCTCAAATACACAGTTTAATGTATTTTAATTTGAAAAAAAAGCGGTGCATGACTCTAGAGTCGCAGAGAAATTATTTTCAAATGTTTTTACTGACAAATGTGACATGAAATAATATTCAATCCCTTAAATTCAGTTTCTATTACAGAGAATAAAGTCCAGCCTTAACTATCTGCCTTTAAAATGCACATAAATAATAAATAAAGGCCACCTGTTTAAAGTCTTAACTCTATTCCATGTGTTCTGTGTCCCAGCGGTTTATTAGAGAACATTAATAAACAAACCACATCTTAAAGACTAACAAACCACTAAATGGGATAATTTAATCAAATCTGCAAAAATGTAAAGACTTCTGGAGGAATTTTAGAATCCATGTCTAACAGTCTTTCAACAAAAAAATGCACCATATAAATCTGGTCTCAATTAAAAAACTCGCAAGAAGAGAGTATGAATGCTTTTACAGTCCCCTGTATTTTATCTATGGATGTTTTGATGCTAGATACCTGGCCAGTTGTCGGTTTGTGGTGCATATCTTTCCAGCCACAAGTATAAACGTAACACTTTTCAGCATTTTTATAAGCATCTCTAGCCTTTTATAAAGTTATCAGTAAGTGATACCAGATTCTGTTTTAGAACACGTACCAGAATGTCTCCAGTAACTGGGCTTTTCTTCTCAGGTATACCAGGCTCTATGGTGGTGACTTGGACCACCTTCAATAAAACAGACAGCATGGTGGAATATGGTCTTCAGGGTGGTCGGCTGTTTGAGATGAGTGCCAAAGGAGATGCTACCATTTTTGTGGACTCGGGAGAAGAGAAGCGGAAGATGTTCATCCACAGAGTTACCCTTACAGGCCTCAAACCTGCTGCTACGTATGGTGGGTGAGGTCTGGATTTTATGTGTTTTTTCCTTTGGCCTGTTTGAGTGAGTTTACCTTTATTTCTTTTTTTTTTTTCAGTCTACCATTGTGGAAGTGATGAAGGTTGGAGCGACATATTTTCTTTCACTGCTCTCAACAGCAGCTTTAGTTTCAGTCCCAGGTTTGCTCTCTATGGTGATCTGGGCAATGAGAATCCTCAGTCTCTGGCTCGACTGCAAAAAGAAACTCAGCTTGGCATGTATGATGTCATCCTTCACATAGGTAACTATTTCAAAGATTTAGATATTTTCATTCTTTGCTTAAAAAGCAATTGAATGCTCATTAGGTTTTATCAACACAGCAGATTGTAATAATTTTCCTTAAGAAACCTGTACTAAAATGAAAATGTGGGAGATTTGATTAATTAAGGCTTAATCACGGAATCAAGGAAGTAAAACTATTCTCATCCAATAGGTACTTGCTCAGATTGTTGTTGATTTTAATTGCACTTTTAGGGCTTAAATTGTTGTCAGTACACCTAAAGCTTTAAAGAATTAGAGCATTAAGACTTCTGTTAAAGTGTGGCCAAAATGTTTTCTTTTTCTAAATGCTTTCTTGTAGTTCCATGTTTAGGAAACAGGGTTAGTGTTTACCGATTTTACTTCACAAATGCATTCTAAAATAAATGTCACGTTTCTACTTTAAATACAATGATTTAAAATAACCATTAAACATAAAAAAGATTGATGCTAATATAAAACCTGAATGCTCAAGTTTTCCGCATTTTTTCCTTGCTGTTGAGGTAAAGTCATTAGTTTGTGCTGAGATGTGTAGTAAAAATTAGATCTCATGTGGTTTATGTTTTTGTTTTGTTTTACAGGGGACTTTGCCTACGATATGCATGAGGTATTTTAATCCTTCCCTATGAAAAGTTATCAAATCTGTACTTAAACTTAACTGGGATCATTGACAGCTGGTTTCTTTCATCGACTCTGATCTCAGACCTCCTCTTATAATCCTCTAATTTCATAGTGGCAGATGAGATACTCCACTTCAGTTCTTCTGTGCTAACCTTTTCCCAGTTTAAACCGCTGTCTATAGTCTGGTCACCTCCACTCTGCGGTCGAGACATTCAGCCTATGATTAACATTACTGTGATATTTCTTCAGCTTTCAATGAAAGATGAGATGGGGAATCTCGTCACTAAAGAAACCAATAAATAAAAACGGTACTATTTAAAACCACATGTGATGGGTCCCAATAACATATTTGCTCCTTTCAAATCTTCCTTGCTGTCATCTTTTCTATATTCAGTGGACCTAATCTTGTCTCTGATTCTAATATCGATTTCCTTTAAATAATTTTCTGCGTTAGTAATGTTTTTCTTTAATATAGAAATGTGTCTAAATAGAATTGACAGACCTCTTTAGAAATTAATAACTATGATTCAGTCTAGTAAATGTTTTTTTAACGTGCTAATGTCCAAGTATAACTCATGGCTTCATTGATATTATGAAGAGAAAACCAGACAAAGGAATTTGGTCTGGTTGTTCTAGGTACAGGCCCCATGAAGAGTGAGTCACACTGTTTTTTAAGACAAAACCTCAGTGGACAAAATCTGGTTTAGACTGGATGTTGATATGTTTTTAAAGCTGTCTAAAAAAGTACTGAATTTTATAATCTTAAAGGTATAATGGAGGATTTTCGACAATTTTTGATTTTTTTTTTTTAACAAAACTTTATTTACACAATTCAAACAATATAATGTACTATTTTTATGAAATAAGTGTCAGCTAAAAATCATTAAAGGCAATGTCCGGACGAAGGCTGCTCAGTGACACAGTGGGTAGCACTGCTGCCTTGCAGCAAGAAGTGGGTTCGATTCCCGGGTCCTTCTGCATGAAGTTTGCATGTTCTCTCTGAGCATGGGTGGGTTTTCTCCGGGTACTCTGCCTTCCTCCCACAGTCTAAAAACATGACTGCTAGGTTAATTGGCATCTCTAAATTCTCCTTAGGTGTGAGTGTGTGCGTGCATGCTTGTTTGTCCTGTTAGTTTCTGTGTTGCCCTGCGATGGACTGTCCAGGGTGTACCCCACCTCTCGTCCGTAGACAGCTGGAGATAGGCACCAGCACCCCTTGCAACCCCGCTTGGGATAAGAGTGTCAGAAAAAGGATTGGATGCATAGGTTCCAAAGTCCGGTCATATTCAGACGAACTTTAAATATTATGTTTCAGAAGAACTTTAAATATTAGATCATTACACACTGTTCAGTAAATGATTATTATTTTAATTAAGAGTGATTTTCATTTGAATGTGATTTATTGGAAACATCCATGTTTGTCAAA